AGGAAAAACGTCAAAAACGTACGAAATACTGTGCATAACTTTTCGTACAATTTCATACGAACTGATAATGAGAATATGTTGCCACATTTACTTAGATCTCTTCCCTGGCTGATCCACTGGAATCAGTGTGTCGATAAGGAGTTTTGGCCTGGATAGTGTGTTAATTAACCCTTTCACGCTTCAGAGAAGCAAACTGCATAAACTCCTGTTATTATGGTGGCGGTTCCGCTGATGATTGATCACTTAACCAAGTGCATTTGATTAGTAACACCTAGCTACTTCCTTCTAATTGATGTAAATGTAAATAATTGCAGAACATGGTTGGAAAGGTGATTTTTTATTATATACTGGTGCATAAAACTCTGTAACATTGAAGGAAAAGCTTTGTTTTATCCGAATGTTGCTTCTATATGTTGGGGGTTCCCTACACTGAGAGATCTGCAGGAACTCCAAAATAGGAAAATCACTGCTCAGATTTTTCTAACACCAATCCAGTATCTTTCCTTAAGTATCTGTCAGATCGACTGCCCTTTGGCTTTGGGGAGATGATATGTGAGCACGAGCGAGACGCTCTGACAATGTGGAGTGATTTATTAGAGGTTAGCTCAGACACAAAGGTCGACCAGGCGGCCCAGCCAATCGTTTCAAGGTGTCAAGCCTTCAGTTTGTCTGTTAAATCGGCCTGTCAACAGACCTGCAGCGCAGCAGGAATCGGTTGAAAGAACCTGCTGCAGATGGAGTATAAACAGCTGCTTTAGATCTTTCTGAATAATCATGGAAATGGGTGTTCTGATGGTGTGATAATTGCACTCTCTTATCTCCATGTATTCATTAGCCTCATCTGTTTTCTCTGCTGCAGATGTGTAACATCCCCTACCTGAGCACACAACTCGACCTGCTTTTGACTTTGAGAGAGCTCCCGATCAGCATGAACGACCTGCAGCCTGTGAGTTCACTTCCTCTTCCGCAGACGAGTCCTCCGGTGAATTCTGTTTCCAGATTCCTTGGCATTTAATTCGGGTGGTGGTTAAAAACTCCAACAGAGACACAGAACACTCCTCTATCATGGAAACATGTTTATTTGCCAGTGTGTGCTGAATCGAGGTGAGAATTATACAGCAGAGGAACAACAGAGACAATTATTTTAAAAAGTATCCCTTAGATAACAAAAAATAACTTAGACTTTGTCAACTTTTATTGTCATTTTGTACAGCTTTCATGGCATTTCCATTTCTTAAAGTGTAGTGATCAAATATAAGCAGTGTGGGAGGATAAAAAAATAAAATAAAATGCCACAAAAAGCACATCAATATGGAGGTTCAGAGTATTAATATATATGGAGCAATTATGCAGTGTTCTGGTTTCTGGTTTCACACATATATACATACATTTTCTTATTATTTCATCTCTCTTGACTTCTTATCGATTTTAATTATCGATTAACAAGCAAACACACACATACACACAAACAAACAGGTCAAAAGAGCATTGATTAGTAAATAAATTTAGCCACAAAGCTAAAGTAGCAGAATCCTGATCCAAAAGATGAAAACAATGATAAAGCTGAAGCTTAAAGTTAACTTCAATCTCTAAATAGTTGTTAAAGTAAATTTTGTTACGGTCAAATTGGGTCTCTTCTTTCGGTACATATCATCACGAGAAATTGATTAGACGTCGCGCTGCAGAAACTGATGTAAAAGAGTCGAATAATTCTTAAAATTTATGTCATGATTTAACTAAGGTCTGACCCAAAATGCAGAATCCAAACAGAGAGACACAGATGAAAAGTTCAACGGGTTTTATTGAAGAGGTTTAAGCTCGGCGCAGAGTCTCTCTGAACTCTGCTCCGCCGGAACTGGAAGACGAGGGGAAGACAGACTGTTAGTTCAGGATCAGTGGGAAATTTGCTTCGTTGATCTTTAACCCCTAGAACCCTACGGACCCACCGGCGGGTCCAGCTGCTACATCACACCGTAATTTTACCAAACCCCCAGTATTGATGTAAAAAACACATTTGGCACAGTTTGGTGACATTTATGGATAAATGTGCCAAAATGGCCCCTCCGCCTAAGAAATTTCTCACTAATACCATTCTAAAATAAATATGATTCATCTGATTGATACCAAATTTGGTAT